GAATGTCATACCCGCTGGGGACCAGAACGGAGGGAAACTGGGCAACTGCCTGTCGCGACCAAAGCAAGTCTCAAACATCTGTCGGCGTGGCTGCCTAAGTTTATGTGCAGCCACGCCGGCAGAAGAGCCGGGAGCCGTGACATTGTCATGGTCGACCGAAGAAGATGAGTGCACATGCTCAGCGTCATATCCAGAGGTTGTCTTTGGGAAATAGACGTATGAGTGCTGCCACCATTACTGTGGAGGTTGAAGGGGTGGGGGTCAGACCATATGCCGCACACTCCATCAAACTGGTCTGCATGGCTGTCGTCCCAGAAGGAAGCCTCTTCTAAAGGTGATGCACAAGAAAGCTTGCAAACAGTTTGCTGAAGACAAGCAGACTAAGCACATGGATTACTAGAACCATGCCCTGTGGTCTGATGAGACCAAAATAAACTTATTTGGTTCAGATGGTGTCAAGCGTGTGTGGTGGCAACCAGGTGAGGAGTACAAAAGACAAGTGTGTCTTGCCTACAGTCAAGCATGGTGGTGGGAGTGTCATGGCCAAGCCTGCATGAGTGCTGCCGGCACTGGGGAGCTACAGTTCATTGAGGGAACCATGAATGCAAACATGTACTGTGACATACTGAAGCAGAGCATGATCCCCTCCCTTTGGAGACTGGGCGTCAGGGCAGTATTCCAACATGATAATGACCCCAAACACACCTCCAAAACGACCACTGCCTTGCTAAAGAAGCTAAAGGTAAAGGTGATGGACTTACCAAGCCTCCAGACCTAAACCCTATTGAGCATCTGTGGGGCATCCTCAAACAGAAGGTGGAAGAGCGCAGGGTCTCTAACATCCACCAGCTCCATGATGTCGTCATGGAGGAGTGGAAGAGGACTCCATTGGCAACCTGCAAAGCTCTGGTGAACTCTATGCCCATTAAGGTTAAGGCAGTGCTGAAAAATAATGGTGGCCACACAAAATATTGACACTTTGGGCCCAATTTGGACATTTCCACTTAGGGGTGTACTCACTTTTGTTGCCAACGGTTTAGACATTAATGGCTGTGTGTTAAGTTGAACCTCTGCAGAAATGCTGGCAGCACTCATACGTCTGTTTCCCAAAGACAACCTCTACTTATGACACCGAGCATGTGCACTCAACGTCTTTGGTCGACCATAGCGAGGTGTGTTCTGAGTGGAACCTGTTCTGTGAAACTGCTGTATGACCTTGCCCACCAGCTTGCAGCTCAGTTTCAGGATCTTGGCAATCTTCTTTTAGCCTATGCCAGGGGTTCCCAATTAATTCTTCCCGTGGAACTCTTTGACATACTATACCAACATCGTGAAACCATCGAAAAAAAGATTGCGTCGTAGCACAAATCTCTTAACAAGGTTTTTAATAATTTTTAAATATTTGGCTCATAAACTGTTTAGTCTTATGATACTCATGAAGTTTTTGCTTAAAAAAGGCAATGTCTTTATCTTTGAGCTCTGCATGGTATTGCTCAAAATGACGACGTAATTTAGCAGGTGCTAACGAACTGTTTGGCAATATTTTCTTGCAAAGTAAGCATTGTGCTTGAGGAATATTTTTATTTGTAGCACTTGTGAATCCAAATTTTAAGTAGCTGTCATCATATTTTCTTTTCTTTGAGATAAAGATTGGGTAGCATTGTGTGCTTTTCTTTTTTTTGTTGACTTGTCACTTGTCTGCTATTTGAGGAACAGTAGATTCAACTATTTCGGACTTGTTTTCTTGATGTCTTGTTGTGTTGTCTTTCTCAGTTTCTATAAGTGTCGAACAGTTAGAAGTAGTAATAATTTTTCTCTTTATAGTTCCTTGTTTTAACCAGATGTCCAAAGTCATGGTTGTTGGTTGGTAAAAAACAAAACAAAAAAAAAACACTTCTCTTAATCTGAAAAAATACAGATCTCACTACCTGACTGCAATGGATGCTGTTTTTTATAATGCTCTTCGAAATAACTTTTTATAAGAAGGATTTTGAATCAGTCTTGGAGCAAAAATATTAAAACACTTTTAAACAGGTCTCACTACTTGAATGCAAAGGATGCTGTTTTTTTTATTTTTATAAAGCTCTTATAAAGAAATGAACATAAGCAGGATTTTGGCTCAGTCTTGGAGTAAAGAGAACACTTTACTACAGATTTCACTACCTGACTGCAAAGAACGCTCTTTTGTTAACAGCTCTTAGAAAGAAATGTTTTTGGTATATCACAGATTTCTACTGATAGTACACAGAAAAAAAGTAAAACACAAAAAATATATACATATTTATATACAATTATATTTAAATATGCTATATGTAAATAAGTAAAAATAAATAACAATGTGAAAAGCACAAACCAAATAACTTGTTTTCAGCTGCAAACTTTTAACAGTCTCTACATGACAATAAAAATAAATAAACCTATCTCATATGCCACAATGGGCACTAATCTAAAGGGCAGTAGTCTCTAAATGGCAGTATAAGAAATCATTTTTCCTGTGGCCAATATTGTGAGCTGAGCACCTAACAGAGGCTTTGAATGCTTCCACTCTATCAGAAGCAATGTTGTTGTTTTTTTTTGTTTTTTTGGTTATATCACAGGTAGCATGCAGACTCTATATATTTTTAAAATAAAAAATATTTGTAAATATGTTTAACAAAAGAAAAGTATGAGAAGCCAAACTAAAATAAATTATTTTGTAATGCAGACTTGTAACACAGTCACAAAAACCTATCCAAAGATATCACAATGGGCACCAATCTAAAGGGCAGTATCAGTCTAAACGGCAGTAAAATATATAATTTTCTTAATTTATATTGTGATCCTCTGTGCACCTGAATGCTTCCACTCTCTATCACTCAGTGGATATAAAATGGCTGACAGAGGGTGTGCTGACAAAGGGTGGGCTGACAGAGGGCAGGCTGAGATTTTTAATGTACATAAAAATACACTAGATTTTTTTTACGTAAAAAAATACAAATTGTCGCTGTATTATTATTATTTTATATTTATAATAATATATTTTAGTTTTAAGTTCTAGTTTTTAAGTTCTCCTGAGGACGTGCTTGAAAATGAGAAATCACAAAGTGTCCTCTCTGGACATTTGTCAGAGTGCCACGTCACAAAAATATAAAAGATTTATAGCACTGCTATGTATGTACTATGTGCATACTGGCTATATGCTTTATTCTCTGTGTTTTTATTGTAGTAAGAATGGTATATTTTCTGTTATCTGTATTTATCATTATAATGGACCAAATTTCTTGGTAAAATCTATTGATGATACAGTTTAATTATCTCTCCCTCTCTGTGTCTAATTTTCTTTCAGTGAGATGGCTCAGTTGGTTAATGTGCAAACTGTAAAGTCTTTGTAAACCATATGGTTGCTTGGTTTGATGCTTTGCAAGGTAAACTCGGTCATTAGTTTGGGTATAAGAAACATTTATTAGTCATTTGTCAGTTAATTAAATCTGATATGGTGTACAAAAACACAGTAAGAAAAAATCAGTGTATACCAAAAAAAGTATTAAAAAAATAAATACAAAACAAACACAGGATAGGTTATTCAATAACATTTGTAGTCTAGCAGCGAAAACGCAAATATTAGGCTAAATTAGTCAAAGGGTAACTATTCTCAAAGTCTGCTATGATTTCACAACAGCTATTTGTGCTTTAAATTGAGAATTCAAGGTAGTTTTCCCAGTAAATTATGCTTTGATCAATAACCCTGCCTGTTATTCACCAAATCAGGACTATGAGAATTGCAAGGGAATTAGGTGTTTCAAAACAGAATAGGCAGACTGGGAGGAATTCTTACCTTAAATGACACTGGGTGAGCTGACACAGGGCAGGCATGCATAAGTGTGTGGCAATCTCGCGATCTCTTATTAAGATTGCGGCCGCGCAATCTCTGCTGTTTCCGACCTTCCAGAAACAGCAGGGAGCGGCGGCCATCTTGGATGTAGCGATTCACGGCGGAACCCTAATTTTGTTCTAACACTAGAACACTAATTTGGAAACGCTGGCCTAGGCCATCTTTATGTAGGGCAACAATTTTTTTTTTCAGATCCTCAGAGAGTTCTTTACCATGAGGTGCCATGTTGAACTTCCAGTGACCAGTATGAGAGAGTGTGAGGGCGATAACACAAAATTTAACACACCTGCTCCCCATTCACAACTAAGACCTTGTAACACTAATGAGTCACATGACACCGGGGAGGGAAAATGGCTAATTGGCCTAATTTGGACATTTTCACTTAGGGGTGTACTCACTTTTGTTGCCAACGGTTTAGACATTGATGGCTATGTATTAAGTTGAACCTCTGCAGCAATGCTGACAGCACTCATACGTCTATTTCCCAAAGACAACCTCTGGATATCATGCTGAGCACGTGCACCCAACTTCTTTGGTTGACCCTGGCGAGGCCTGTTCTGAGTGGAACCTGTTCTGTGAAACCGTTGTATGGTCTTGCCCACGGTGCTGAGTTGAGTTATTTTGAGGGGACATCAAATTTACACTGTTATACAGGCTGTACACTTACTACTTTACATTGTAACAGATTGTGATTTCTTCAGTGTTGTCACATGAAAATATATAATTAAATAGTTCCAAAAATGTGAAGGGTTTACTCACTTTTGTGAGATAATCTCTCTCTCTCTCTCTCTATCTAGGTAGATAGAGAGAGAGAGAGAGAGAGAGAGAGAGATTATCTCACAAAAGTGAGTAAACCCTTCACATTTATTAGTCATTTGTCAGTTCTGTAAATAAACACAATCTGATATGGTGTACAAAAACACAGTAAGAAAAAATCAGTGTATACCAAAAAAAGTATTAAAAAAATAAATACAAAACAAACACAGGATAGGTTATTCAATAACATTTGTAGTCTAGCAGCGAAAACGCAAATATTAGGCTAAATTAGTCAAAGGGTAACTATTCTCAAAGTCTGCTATGATTTCACAACAGCTATTTGTGCTTTAAATTGAGAATTCGAGGTAGAATTCGAGATAATCTCTCTCTCTCTCTCTCTCTATCTAGATAGATAGAGAGAGAGAGAGAGAGAGAGAGAGATTATCTCACAAAAGTGAGTAAACCCTTCACATTTTTGGAACTATTTAATTATAGATAGAGAGAGAGAGAGAGAGAGAGATACATACATACATACATACACATTATGTTAGTAATTCTCAACAACAAAATCGGAGTCCTCGATTCATAATATATATATAGTGCACCCTCAGTATCAAAAGATACAAGTGTAACCTGCACAGCTGCCCATTTGTGCTGAATGCTTGGACACTACAGATGTTTAGGCTAATGAAATCTGTAAATAAACACAATACATGATACATTCTTCTGATGTCACAGAGTATAGTATAAAACCAACTGCTGACTTAAAAGATAATAAAGCAAAATATGTCAATGAAAAATACACTAAACTTTTTATGTTGCTTAAGAGGTATAAGGAAATAAGGTTGATTCTCTGTGAAACATGGTTGTCTGCTGTCAGTACAGAAATAAATAGTGATGTCGCGAACCCGAAATTTTCGGTTCGCGAACGGCGAACGCGAACTTCCGCAAATGTTCGCGAACCGGCGAACCGCCCGAAACGCCATTGACTTCAATGGGGAGGCGAATTTTAAAACACACAGGGACTCTTTCTGGCCACAATAGGGATGGAAAAGTTGTTTCAAGGGGACTAACACCTGGACTGTGGCATGCCGGAGGGGGATCCATGGCAAAACTCCCATGGAAAATTACACAGTTGATACAGAGTCTGGTTTTAATCCATAAAGGGCAGAAATCACCTAACATTCCTAAATCACAATCAATATGGATTGACACCTGACATATGACATATTGACACCTTGACATATGGATTGACACCTGTCCTCAGAGCCCCTGATGCACACGGACACAGAGCAGAATAGAGACTGGTCCCCCTACATAGGGTCACTTGGCAAATATGGATTGACACCTGTCCTAAGGATCCCTGATACACACTGACACAGAGCAGAATAGGGACTGTTCCCCTACATCGGGTCACTTGGCAGATATGGATTGACACCTGTCCTAAGGTTCCCTGATACACACTGACACAGAGCAGAATAGGGACTGGTCCCCTACATCGGGTCACTTGGCAGATATGGATTGACACCTTGTTACAAACTGCTATTTGTAACGGGCCCTTTAAATGGCAAATTGCCCTGCTTCCCTGGGTTGTGGAGAAGCCTACTTGCCAGCCTCCTCCCGCATGACTATGGCCCCTGGGAGATTGTGAAAATGTATGCACTTTTATTTGGTGTGTATGGCCCTTTAAGACTGTCGGTGGGCATATTGGGGCTTATGGACTCTTTATGTGACTGGTGCTGGCCCTTTAAACACCTTTTTTGGGACATCAGGAAGATTGGGACACTGCCCCTTTAAGGCCGTGTCCCCAGACTTGTTGGGGACACGGCCCCTTTAAGACGGTGTCCCCTGTGTCCCCAGACCTGGTGCAAACCCTTTGTGCCTGCCTTGCTATTTCCCACTTGGTTCAGTAAATGGAAATTATTTCAGCTGCAGAGACTAAGTCCCATTCGGCGATGGGACTTAGTCTTTTTTTCAGCCGTTTTTTTCAGCCTTATTTCAGCTGCAGAGACTAAGTCCCATTCGGCGATGGGACTTAGTCTTTTTTTCAGCCGTTTTTTTCAGCCTTATTTCAGCTGCAGAGACTAAGTCCCATTCGCGATGGGACTTAGTCGTTTTTTCAGCCTGAAATAGACGACCTCACAGCCCAAATCTATGGAACTGTTTTGGGCAGGAAAATGTGCTTGCGTCGGTCATAAAGGACCTCCAGCTAACTTTTTAACCCCTGGATGGATTTGGCTGATTTTTGGTTATGTTTATGTTTTAAGTGTGCTGATTCCAAATATGTAATTATGAAGATGGGATGTGTAGTTTTAAAGTTACAGGGTATGGCTAAAAACTGTATTTTTACTGCCTGTGTTTAATTATGTTAATCTCTTCCCAAACGTCATTTCGTTCAAAGTGGAGAGAATGTTAAAAAAATATATTTTTGTTCGGAGTGTGAGAAATGCTTTTCAGCCGCTTCTAATCTTAAGCATCATTTGAGGAGCCATACAGGAGAGAAACCTTATTTGTGGTGTGTTTAGTATTGTTCTGATCAGTTTAATACCTTCCGCGTCTCCTATCAGTGGACGTGTATATGGCAGCCATTTTAGGAACCGTACACCTGGGACCCGAGCAAGGTCACCTCGTTCAACAGGCGACAACATTTGTCCCTGGAAAACTATCCTGGACATTCTGTACAATTTGTATGGATATGGCAGTGATTTCTGTAACAGGGAGATGGAAGAAGATGCTTGGTCGGTCCTCTTAATTCAAATTTGGGGCACTGCGCGGTCAAGCTAATGTGCCACCAGATAGGAGTGGTGTGTTTAGTATTTTTCTGATCAGTTTAATACCTTCCGCGTCTCCTATCAGTGGACGTGTATATGGCAGCCATTTTAGGAACCGTACACCTGGGACCCGAGCAAGGTCACCTCGTTCAACAGGCTTGCAGCATATCCTCCAGGAAGAAGAGCCTGAACCCTTACCGGCTGCACGTGTCTTACCTGTACATGGAAAGCTGCTGTGGTTCCTTGATGAGCCAGCTGCCCGTGAGTTAACATGTCCCGTGGAGAAGCACTCTGTCCTGTAAAGCCTCACCAAAAAAAAGGAGTGGTGTGTTTAGTATTGTTCTGATCAGTTTAATACCTTCCGCGTCTCCTATCAGTGGACGTGTACACGGCATTGATTTTTGTAACAGGGAGATGGAAGAAGAGGCTTGGTCGGTCCTCTTAATTCAAATTTGGGGCACTGCGCGGTCAAGCTAATGTGCCACCAGATAGGAGTGGTGTGTTTAGTATTGTTCTGATCAGTTTAATACCTTCCGCGTCTCCTATCAGTGGTCGTGTACACGGCATTGATTTTTGTAACAGGGAGATGGAAGAAGAGGCTTGGTCGGTCCTCTTACTGCAAATTTGGGGCACTGCGTCAAGCTAATGACACCAGATAGAGTGGTGTGTTTAGTATTTTTATCAGTTTAATACCTTCCGCGTCTCCTATCAGTGGACGTGTACACGGCATTGATTTTTGTAACAGGGAGATGGAAGAAGAGGCTTGGTCGGTCCTTTTACTGCAAATTTGGGGCACTGCGCGGTCAAGCTAATGTGACACCAGATAGGCGTGGTGTGTTTAGTATTGTTCTGATCAGTTTAATACCTTCCGCGTCTCCTATCAGTGGTCGTGTACACGGCATTGATTTTTGTAACAGGGAGATGGAAGAAGAGGCTTGGTCGGTCCTCTTACTGCAAATTTGGGGCACTGCGCGGTCAAGCTAATGTGACACCAGATAGGAGGGGTGTGTTTAGTACTATTTTTATCAGTTTAATACCTTCCGCGTCTCCTATCAGTGGACGTGTACACTGCATTGATTTTTGTAACAGGGAGATGGAAGAAGAGGCTTGGTCGGGTCCTCTTACTGCAAATTTGGGGCACTAAGCGGTCAAGCTAATGTGACACCAGATAGGAGTGGTGTGTTTAGTACTATTTTTATCAGTTTAATACCTTCCGCATCTCCTATCAGTGGTCGTGTACACGGCATTGATTTTTGTAACAGGGAGATGGAAGAAGAGGCTTGGTTGGTCCTCTTACAGCAAATTTGGGGCACTGCGCGGTCAAGCTAATGTGACACCAGATAGGAGTGGTGTGTTTAGTACTATTTTTATCAGTTTAATACCTTCCGCGTCTCCTATCAGTGGTCGTGTACACGGCAGTAATTTCTGTAACAGGCAGATGGAAGAAGATGCTTGGTTGGTCCTCCTAACTGGAGACTGTGTTGTTGTACGGGTGGCAGGTGGAGCCATTTATAAAGTACACACTGCTTTATAAAGCCATTTATAAAGTACACACTGGCTGCTTGAACCCAAGTTGGTGGCGGATAAGTCACGCAAGTCAACAGGCATTCAGAGCTAAAATACAGCAGCGTGTGGACCATTTTTAGCCCAAGGCAGCTCATCTCATCAGGCCTTTTTTACATAGGGTCACTTGGCAGATATGGATTGACACCTGTCTTAGGGATCCCTGATACACACTGACACAGAGCAGAATAGGGAATGTTACCCCAACATAGGGTCACTTGGCAGATATGGATTGACACCTGTCCTCAGAGCCCTGATACACACTGACACAGAGCAGAATAGGGAATGTTACCCCAACATAGGGTCACTTGGCAGATATGGATTGACACCTGTCCTAAGGATCCATGAGATACACACTCCGACACACAGATCAGAATAGGAATGTTACTCCCAACATAGGGTCACTTGGCAGATATGGATTGACACCTGTCCTAAGGATCCCTGACTGACACAGAGCAGAATAGGGAATGTTACCCCAAATATAGGGTCACTTGGCAGATATGGATTGACACCTCGTCCTCAGAGCCCTGATACACACTGACACAGATCAGAATAGTAAATGTTACCCCAACATAGGGTCACTTGGCAGATATGGGATGACACCTGTCCTAGATCCATGATACACACTGACACAGATCAGAATAGGGAATGTTTACCCCAACATAGCTCACTGGTGATATGGATTGACACCTGTCCTAAGGATCCCTGATACACACTGATACACACCTACTTGAATGGTATAGACATTTTTAGCAGCTCCTGGTCCGAACACCTGACCCACATAGGAGCCGTAATAGACCGGATTAGGGAGTCCGGACTGACCCTAAAGCCCAGTAAGTGCCATATAGGAACGTGTAAAAACCTCCCCAAGATAGCAGTATGGGCCCCAGAATGTGAACAGGCCTTCCAACAGCTCAAGACGGCGCTCATTAAATCACCTGTACTTTCTTCTCCTGATCCAACCAAACACTTTCTCGGCCATACAGACGCTTCTATGCTTGGATTGGGAGCAGTATTGAGCCAAGTCGGAGCAGATGGTGGCTAGCAACCCGGGGCTTATCTAAGCCGTAAACTTTTGCACAGCCAAGTATATTCACTGCCATTGAAAAGGAGTG